TTATTTTTAAGTAATCTCTACACCAAACGTGGGGCTCGAACTCACAACACGAGATCAAGAGTCACATGCTCCACTGATTGACCCAGCCAGGCACCATTAGGGGCGCCTGGGTGGCTCAGTCGGTTAAGTGTCTGCCTTCGGCTCAGGTCATGATCCCAGGGTCCTGGGATTGAGCTCCGCATTGGGCTCCCTGCTCTGATTCTTCCCTGCCTCTCCCCTTGCTTGTGCTCTCTCTGTCAAATAAATAAATAAACAAATAAAGAAAGAAAATCTTAAAAAAAATCCAAACAGGTTAAGATAAATTTTGTTACATGTATTTACAACAATAAAAAAAAGTTTTTAAAAATCTAAATAAGTGAATACATAAGTAAAATCTGAAAATTATGTATGTTCTGTTTTAGTCTTTCCTTAAAAAGACAAAACACTAGAGGGATAAACATTAATTATTAAAACCAGGAAGATCAGCTATGATCTGGAATCAAAATTGGATGTTTTGATATTTTTGGTTTTTTTTGGAGAGAGAGCGAGAGCATGGGCTTGCGCACATGAACGAGGTGGGGGCAGGGTGGGGCAGAGAAAGACGGAGAGAATCCCAAGCAGGCTCCAGGCTTACCATGCAGGCTGACTCAGGTTTCTATCTCATGACCCTGAGATCATGAACTCTACTGAGATCCAGAGTCGGATGCTTAACTGACTGAGCCACCCAGGTGCCCCTGCATGTTTTAATTCTTAACTCTCCTATCACTTAAAAAAAAAAAAAAAAAAAAGCTTATGGGCGCCTGGGTGGCTCAGTCGTTAAGCGTCTGCCTTCGGCTCAGGTCATGATCCCAGGGTCCTGGGATCGAGTCCCACATGGGGCTCCCTGCTCAGCGGGAAGCCTGCTTTTCCCTCTCCCACTCCCCTTGCTTGTGTTCCTGCTCTCACTGTCTCTCTCTGTCAAATAAATAAATAAAATCTTAAAAAAAAAAACTTAACATTTTTTAACTAGTTCCTTAAAAAATTAAAAATAGAATTCCTTGCTGATCCAGCGATTATACTTCTATTTATACAGAAGAAATGAAAGCAGAGGGTCAAACAGATATTTGCATACCAGTGTTTATTAGCAGCGTTATTCACAACAGCCAAAAGGTAGAAAAAACTTAAATATCCATCAACGGATGAATGGATAAACAAAATGCTATATGCACACACATATATGTATAGATGCAGTGGAATATTATTCAGCCCCAAAAAGGAAGGACAGTCTGACACCTGCTACAACATGGCTGAACCTTGAAAAACATATGCTAGGGACGCTTGGGTGGCTCAGTCCGTTAAGCGTCTGCCTTCAGCTCACGTCATGATCTCAGGGTCCTGGGATCGAGCCCCATGTCAGTCTCCCTGCTCAGCGGCAAGTCTGCTTCTCCCTCTGCCGCTCCCCTGCTTGTGCTCTCTCTCTTTCTGACAAATAAATAAAATCTTAAAAGAAAAGAAAACCGTATGCTAAGTGAAATAAGCAGTCACAAAAAGACAAATACTGTAGAATTCTACTTGTACGAGGTCCCCAGAGCAGTCAAACTCACGGAGACAAAGAAAGTAGAATGGGGGTTGTCAGGGACTGGGGGGAAAGGGGAATGGGGAATTGTTGTTTAATGGGTATAGAATTCCCTCTCTCACTGTCTCTCTGTCAAATAAATAAATAAGATCTTTAAAATCTTTAAAAAAAAGATTTTTTTAAATTAAATTTTTTTTTAAAGATTTTATTTATTTATTTGACAGAGAGAGCTAGGGAACACAAGCAGGGGGAGTAGCAGAGGGAGAAGCAGGCCTCCCGCTGAGCAGGGAGCCCGACACGGGGCTCGATCCCAGGATCTTGGGATCATGACCTGAGCTGAAGGTGGATGCTAAACAACTGAGCCACCCAGGCGCCCCTTAAGATTTTTATTTTTAAGTAATCTCTACACCAAACGTGGGGCTCGAACTCACAACACGAGATCAAGAGTCACATGCTCCACTGATTGACCCAGCCAGGCACCCCAGCCTGCATTTTTTTTTTTTACAACCTTCTGCAGGGCAGGGATCAGAACCCAGATGTCCTGACGCTCAGGTTCCTCCCACTCCAGTGCTCAAGAATTTCTGAAAACAGAAATCAGGAAGTTACCCAAGGAGTGTGTGCAATAGAGAAGTCTCTGGGTCAGAAGTCTATTAAAGAGGCCCTGGGGGGGTTGTCTTCTGGGTTGAAGGGGTGCTCCTGGGGCTAGGTGTTCAGGGAGGAACCTGACCATACCTGGAACCAGCGAGAGAAAACTTAATTCTCATAGACTAGGCAGCTGGCTTGTGGGCTGCTGTGTGCACAGTTCTGTCCTTGGGACTCTTCCCTCCTATGTGGTGGTTTTAAAACATGTCTGCAAATCCTTGACATTTCTTCTGTCATAGGGTTGAGTCTCATCCCCCATCTCTTGAACAGAGGCTGGCCTTAGCAACTGACTTCTAATGAATGGAAGAGAGTCGAAGTGACAGCATGTCCCAAGCCTAGGTTAAAAAAAAAAAAGGGACAGGGGGCGCTTGGGTGGTTCAGTCGGTTGAGCGTCGGAGTCTTGGTTTTGGCTCAGGTTGTGATCTTGTGGGTTTCGGGATCAATCCCCGCTTCCGGCTCCATGCTTAGCGGGGAGTCTGCTCGAAAGATTCTCTCCCTCTGCCCTTACTCCCTCTAAAATAAATAGGGGTGCCTGGGTGCCTCAGTCGTTAGGCGTCTGCCTTCGGCTCAGGTCATAATCCCAGGATCCTGGGATCGAGCCCCGCGTTGGACTCCCTGCTCCGCGGGAAGCCTGCTTCTCCCTCTGCCAGTCCCCCTGCTTGTGTTCCCTCTCTCGCTATGTC